GTGAGCTCTGGCGTGGCTTCAGAGGTGATTTCAGTAGCTGGAGGAGTACTCAATCCAGTAGCTGATTCTGGAGCTTGCGCAGGGTACTGTTCATCAACAAACACATCCACGTGTTCAGTCACAGGATCCATGCCGACGTCGTTTTCAGGAGGCGTTTGAGGCGTGGAAAAAGGAAATATTTCTTCAAAAAACTTAACGTCCCGAGATACAAAAATCTCCAAGGTCTCCGTATCAAGTAAACGCCACCCCTTTTTAGCAAAAGGATATCCCAAAAATACACACTTGCGACTTCGTGAAGAGAACTTATCACCCTTGGCCTTGAGATTATGCGCATATCATAGACACCCAAAGACCCGAAGTTCAGAATAATTTGGTTGGAGTCCATACAATATCTCGTAGGGAGTGCGTTGAGACAGTACTTTGGATGGTGTGCGATTAATTAAGTATCCTGCCGTCAACACACACTCCCCCCCAATAAGTAATAGGCAAAGCGCCCTGAAAGCGTACAGCTCGTGCAACGTTCAATATATGACGATGCTTACGTTCCACACGTCCATTCTGTTGAGGATTTCCCACACAAGATGTCTCAAAAATGATTCCATGATCAGCAAAAAATTGCTTAAGACAATTAAACTCAGTACCATTATCACTTCTCACACGACGAATGGTTTGAGAAAATTGACATTGTACTAAAGCAACAAAAGACATGAAACGGGAGTATACTTCCTTTTTATCAATCAAAAGATATATCCACACAGCCCGTGAAAAATCATCTACAATTGTGAGAAAGCTTTTGGCACCGCAAGTTGAAACAGTCGGACAAGGACCCCAAACATCAATATGAATCAAATAAAAAATCCTACTAGCTTTATTATCACTCAAAGGAAAAACTTCACATGTTTGTTTGGCACGGAAACAAATATCACAAGGGGAAACAACACTACTATCAACAGATGACAAAGATTTAATTAAATTTTCAGACGGATGCCCTAGCCTTTTATGCCAAAGATCTGATGGTAAGTCCACACCATTCACCGCCACACACTGTCTAGAATCTTGTTTAAAATAATATAGGCCATCCCATCTTTCACCCGTTCTAATCAGCTTCCTCGATTGTCGGTCCTGAAGAACACAAATATTAGTGACAAATTGAACTACACAATTCAAATCATCTGTCAATTGTGACACAGAAATCAAGTTGTACCGTAATTGAGGTACATATAAAACATTTTTTAATGAGATAAATGGTGACAAAATGACTGTTCCTTGCTTCATGGCCGTTACGACCTGTCCGTTGGGTAAATTGACTGGGCAATTATTCACGTCATGAATATCGAGTCAGAATATCAGCACTTCCGGTAACATGGTTTGTTGCCCCCGTATCATGTATCCACAAAGAGGAATAAAACTTACCAGTCATATGATCAGATGGAGCTGTGTTTTTACCGAAAGCTGCTGTAAGTGCGCGCCACTGCTCGGCAGTGAAACCTGGTAGTGCCTCGGCAGAAGCTTCCCCTTGCTTCTGCGAGTTCAACTTAGGAGCTGCACTAGTTGTTGCATGTGCTTTTACAGTAGGTAGTAGCCGAGCCACGCCCAATCCCTATTTTCCCTCATCCAGCACCTTTGATAATTCCTCGCGGACGGTCGCCCCACCAATCCGGATAACCAATTAACTGGAAACGGCCTATGATCTCATGCCCCAAGAAATTGCAATGCGTGCAAATCGTTCCAGATTTATCTACTTTAGGAGCTTTATTATTTTCCCTCCCCACGGTCTTTGCCGCAAAAGTCATAATATCAGGTTTATCTTCCTTTTTCTGAACAGTTCCGCGAACCCGCTCTTCTTGCGTTATCTGATGGTACGCTCTATTCAGAGTCGGGAGAGGTACCTAAGAAAGCAAATTAGATCGCAGTTGTGCATAATACTCAGGAGTTAATCCCATAAAAAATTGATGGAACCTTTCTGATTCTCGTCGTTGAGCATGTAATTCTCCGAATTTGCATGTACACTTCCCGCATGTACAATTCAACAACGGTTCATAATTGTTTAATTCATCCCACCACATCTTAAGTTGTCCGTAATACATTGCAACCGGCATAGTAGGTGATTGTTCACACTTCGCTATGTTCACCTTTAGCTGATGGATACGTGGTCCGTCCACAACTGAAAATCTCTCTTTAATTAAGTCGCGCATCATATTGAGAGAGAGTTCTTGTTACTTCCGGGGCTATGGTGTTCATCAGCCATGGCACGAGCATGGAGTGATTAGTTTGCCAGTCATCTTCCGTACAACGATTTTCGTAGGTTTTTATCGTGCCATCTATTAATACAAATTTACGACGTGCTTTCAGTGCCAGGCGTACAGATCCTGCCCAGTCGTCGTAGTTCTCACCCCTGAGCCGAACGTGAGTAGTATAATCCCCCGGTCGATCTTGAGGTCCAAGATAAAACGGAGAAGTGTGATCAATTTTAAACGATGAGGTGCTGCCATCTTCATCGTCCTTGCCGATTGCCATGTTCGTCGGCGATATTTAACGTTGCTCACACGAGCAACTGCTCTGATACCATAATTGGAGAGAGTATATTTGTGATAAAATTGATCCGTGTTATTCTTCAGCTTATCGCTGGTATAAATAGAACTTCAAACTGCATGAGTCCTAATAGAACTAAGCAGTAACACAACCTACTGCCTTTAGGAGGCTAGTTCCGTAGGAAACAATAAATAGCAATAATAAAGGAATAAATAATTAATCTAATCATTAACACTGTAACAACTTCCATGCTTGTTTGGCAAGCATTGCAATATTAAACTCATGTAGTCTTCTAAAGCCCATCCCCCCTTATTTCTTTGGAGCACATAGCCATTCCCAATTCAACCACCGAATTCCCCTACTTGAACAACCTTTCTACCAAAAACCATTCATGATCCTCTCTATTTCTTCACATTCATTGCATAGCTAAGCATGGCATGGAGCCCAATTTTAATGAGGATTTCTCGGCCAGCCCTAGACAATTCTAATTAGATTTTTAGCCCCCGCTTCCATTAGATTTACCCCCCAACATTTCCTTGAAGCCCTCTTACCGATCATTATCCACATTGGCGCTGAAAAAATGGTCAACTTTGTATCATTAATAACCTGTCATGTGGCCACTGCATAGTCCTCCAGAACATTCTTAATAATCGAGCATTTTTGGGACCTGGTTGGACCGGATGTGGTAGCTTTTGTCAGCAGATATTTAATACTGGCATTTTTCATGAGGGTTTAAATCATACAAATATAGTCTTAATTCCTAAAAAGGACAATCTTTAGACTATTACTGATTGGAGGCCAATATCTCTTTGTAATGTTGTTTTTAATTTTTTTGAAGTATTGGCTAATAGATTGAAAGGTTTGTTGGGCCATATTATTTCTCAAAATAAAGTGATTTTGTCCCCGGACGATCTATTATTGATAATATCATGATTGCTTTCGAGGCACATCACTATCTCACGTGAAAGAGGCAAGGAAATGATGAGTTTGTAGCTTTAAAGCTTGACATGAGCAAAGCTTATGATAGAATAGAATGAAATTTTCTGGAAGCTATTCTGGCTCCTTTGGGCTTTGATGCTAATTGAGTTTTTCTTGTGATGCAAACAGTTAAGATGGCTTCGTACTCTATTCCTTTTGATGAGGTAGAGTTGGGGCCAATTATTCCTCAGAGGGGGCTATGAAAGGGGGACCCTCTATCTCCTTATCTTTTTATTCTGGTGGCTGAAGGTTTGAGTGCTAGACTTCGGCATGAAGAGGCGGTGGGCAGACTCCATGGGGTGAGGGTGGCAAGAGGTGCTCCTAGAATCTCTCATCTTCTTTTTGCCGACTGTTTCTTGTTTTTTATGGAAGTTTAAGAAACGACTAATAGTACTTGACTACTAAAAAATAACTTAGCTACAAATTAGAAAATGATGCATGTCATATATAACATATACAAACTGTTATTTAATACTAAAGAAACTCATACAATTTATACGGGTATATAAAGCATAAGAACTACTATCTAACGCACTGTACGTATGCAAAACATTAGGACAAGTACCTTAAACAAAAAAATCGGTACTTAACACAAAACACTTAAGAACTAATTAATATCTAACATATAATGACTTCATGCATACAACTTAAACTAGTATATAACACACATGAATCAGTATCTAACTCATAATACGTATATATCTCAAGAACTAGTGGCTATCTTATATTATATATGCAAAAACCTAAAACAAGCAAGTATTGCACAAGAATCAATATCTTACGCACAACCATCAGGATTAGATGGACATGAAGAGACATCATACATATATTATTTATCTAGCGCACAAGAAGCAATATGTAGTATACAAAAACATATGAAAATCACAAGTTAACACACAAGTTAAAAAGCATTATTATTTGATGCACATCTATGTAAATACACAAGAGAAAATATTTAACACACAATAAACGAATATGTATTGAAGAATATAATGATGATGTGGCGAATAATATAAATTACTAAGAAATATAATTACATGATAACACTCCTTCCAAAAATAATACATTCTTTTTAATAATTCAAATATGCATGAGCAACCGTTACCATATAAGCTAAAATCAATATTGACTAACATTAATTATAAACAACATGACAAGCAGTTATCAAAATAAAATAAAAAGAGGTGATTACTAAAATATCCCATAACAAATGTACAACTTAATCTTACGAATTTTACACGTGTAAAGATAGGGTTGATTCTTATTTCTTATAATAATTATTGTTCTTATTTATCCTAATTGTATATATAAGGTGTGGATTAAAAAATGGTTTTAACGTCTAAAATGCAAAATATTCACTTTTGTAGGGATACACTTCACTTTTATGTTTAGGTACTGCACTTTTTCACATTTGTAATAATACACTTTTTAAAAAACTATACGGTGAATAAACAATTGTTTTGAGTCCACCCTTATTTATACTAGTATACCTTTTGGGCTTTGTATGTATGCACAAGGTTTCCATTTGGACGCTTCATGAGAGTAAGGCTCTTCCCATAATTGCTTCATCTCATCTTGCTTAAAATCATTCTATTCTTGCAATAGCATTAAAGAATGTATAAGAATATGATATATATTTCACGAAATGAGAGTAAATAAAATGTGAAATTATATGTTAAGATAACTGTATTATATTTTCCCCTTATATAATAGTAAATTACTGTCATTCTGAAATCACTGTCATATTTTGACATACTAGACATTAATATGATAGTATTTATACCAAATAGGCATTACTTGGCAAGCATGGCAATATTTTTCTTATTTTGGAATTTCTCTTATATTTTGAAAAATATAATACTCTTATATAAAGACGCTACACATTCTAATATATGATTTTGCATGTTTCTGAATATGATAACACACAATTGAGAAAAGTGTCAAATTGGCCCTCCACTTTGTATGAAAAGTCAGTTTTGCCCCCACACTTAAACTTTGATCAATTATGCCCCATACTATGAAATTTTCATCAAAAATAATTTTTAGCAGGTAACCCATTGTTAAGCAGGTTACCTACTGACGTGGCACACGCGTGGACTGAAACAACGCACACGTGGCAGCCCACATCACCTTTCCCCCATTTTTTCTTTTTTGATCCTTTTCCTCTTTTCTTTTTCTCTTTCAATTCTTTCTCTTTCCCCTTCGTCCTTTCTTCTTGCGCAGATTCCTCCATGGGCCATGGCACCGGAAACAAATCTAGAAAATATGGGATGTGTTGGGCTGGAGAGTAATGATACTAGGATTAAACATTAATAGGGTGAGTTCAGTATAAAAAATGGAAAATATTACACTACAAAAATTGGAAAAAAATAAGTTACCCTGAGCTTCATCCCACCAAAGCCCTTACATAGATCCTCCCCTACAAGGCATGAATTCTTTCGCATAGTTTCATCCATGGCTTGATTTCATCCGAGGATCCATATCTCTTCCTCATGTAAGGCTTAATTTTGCAGCTTAGATTCGACGACTAAACCCGAATAATGGCGACAGGCGTCGAAGCTTACCGGCGAAGAGGACAACCACAGAGAGTTGGGCGGACGCCGACTAGTGGATGCGAGGGCAGACGCCGACTAGTGGATGCGAGGGCGGGAAACATGGAAGACCTCTGGAGCAGTTGGCATGGCTTCTGTTGGTCACGAAACAACTCTGCTGTCGTGTAGAACAGTCGACTGAGGAGGCCCTCACCATCCTCCCCTTGCCTCCACCCTTGGTTTGGTGCAAGTTTTAAGACAATAAAGGACAAACTAGTAAATTATGAAATAATAAAAACGGATAAAGGGAGAAAATAAAATCTTAGTGTAGTCCAATTTAAGAAAGTGTTCATTTTTTTGGGACGACCTATAGGGCCGAGTTCTAATAAAAAGTAGTTTTTAAAATACAAAATGGGAATGTCTCCACTTTTGAGCGTCTGAGTTGCATTATTGCATTGATTTGTTTTGACATCCACTTTTGATCCCTGGTGAGAGTGTTTTCACTCAACATAGGATGCTTGTTGTGACACCGCACCCGAATGTACTTGAAATTAAGATTCAATATGTATTCGAATTTCACTTTTAATAATTGCGTGTGAGAGGATGATGGATTTATTTAATGAATAACTATATATTATTTATTGGGCCCATTATATTGGGAGGGACTACCAAATATTTAGTTGGGTCATCATACTAATTATAGAAGCCCAACTAAAATGCAAATTAAAGCTAAGGAAAATGATTGGGCAACCCAAGTGCTAATTTGACCCAACTTGCTAAAAATAGCACTAATAGGGAGAGACTTCCTACACCCGCTTGAGGATTTTCATACATGCATTGTAGTCTCCAAATCATAAAATAAAGGCTTAACATGGGTGAAGGCACGGATCTGAGATGGGAAGTCTCCAAGAGACAAAGCCACACCCCATGGCCCTATCCCTTTGTTTTATTGGTTGACTTTAATGACTGTAGATGCTCCCCTATCCTTTGCATCATTTGAACAAGCCAAAGAGAGAAGGATCTCTAGGAAAAACTCTCACAAAGTTTTACTATGGAGGAAACAAGAACAAAGAAACCCCAACAAGAGAAGGATATGATTTGAGGTAAGAACCCAACTAATATTCTTTAACTATTATTATGTTCATATGTTTTTTAAGAAATCATATGGTGGGTCAAACAAGAGGTTCTACACGTTTTAAAGGTAGAATATTGATATAAAGTGTTGGTATTTAACTTAGAAGAGTCGTTGAGTCGATATGAGGTGAAATCGCCGAAAACCACCATTAAAGAGAAGCTGTCTTGAGTTGCAGGAGCCAAAAGCCGTCAGGCTTTTACCTACTGCCCAGCTAGTTCATTTTCGATCGGCCTTGAACGGGGGTTGACCAAAGGGCTTCGCTAGGGCAGCTAGTTAAGCACATCATAAGGGGATGCTGACTAACTATATTGCTTATAATTAGTGGGTTGATTTCATGAGATTACCTAAAGGATTTAAGTATGATTTTAATGGATTATTAATGATTAATAACACAAAAAATGAGAAGATTGTTGTCTATTAAGAAAAGGAGCATGACATACAAATTTAGAAGTAAATTATGTATGATTATGTGTTGTGAAAATGATGACATGCTAGTTGAATTAACTACGAAACCTTATGATAAAATACCTTTTTACTTCACATAAAGATTATATGAATGATCAAAAGTGATATTTTGTGTATTGAGTATACATTTTATTTAGGTTGAAAAATTAGTTTGAATTGGTCAACATGATCATGAATTGGGAACTTGATTGTACTAGAATTAATCCGGCTAGTACTAAGATACTTGTCGGGATGTTAATATGAGATTGTGTTAGAATTGATCCTAAGGTTGGATTGTGAGATGTTGTACCTTGAGTAGTCCGAAGAGATACTTTAAGGTGGAAATGTATGAACTCTAAGTTATATTAGGGGTAGCCAATATAGGATTGGCCTACGGGTGTTTCCGGTAGTCCTTGAGGATTTCCAAAGTGAATGGTGGTAAAAAGTAAGGACCATGGCCCGACTCGACTCTAAAGAGTGTGTCCGACAGCATGGACTTATAGCGTGATCACATGTACGAGTGGAATCCCCGGAGGTCATACGAGACTCCCAACAGCGATAACACTTAAGATAGGATCCCGAATGAACCTTACCTTCCTACGGGAAGAAGGGTATGAGTCCATGGGAGGGATGTTGGACACCGGTTTGAGGACCCCACAAGGCATCCGACAGCGGTGACAAGTCTCATATGATTGATAAGACCTACGTGTTATATCATGTGAACGATAAATGAAATGAAATACTAAATGGGCCCACGTGCTGACAGATTAACTTATATGAATAAATAAAAGGGGGAAATATGATTTATTACCTATATTATGATATCACCCAATTTGAGGGTCTTAGGAATTGAAACATTGATTATATACAATATAGTTGTCATTGTACTTTTCAAATGCTTCAAAGTACTGACCTCCCCTTCCCGAGGGAGGGGGGCACCTCACAGTTTCAGGTAGAAGTTAGAGCCTACTACCAGTACCCGTTGCTTTGGAAAGATCTTGGAGGGAAGACTTGGTTCGTGCTTCCTCCGTTTTTTTATTTCAAAACAATATTAATAATGCTCATGGATAATATTTTATTGTAAACTATTTGGGGGCTTGCATGCATAAGTTTTCCCAATGTGGCTTGAACTCTTTTGTATTATTTCCGCTGCTTGAATGAATATTTTACATGATGTTTGTTTGTGGATGTACTATGTGAATGATATTCATGATGCCTAGTATAGTACGAGTATGCTTGATTTTGGTTGACTTATTTGGACTATACGGCAGTTGTGACATGTCCGGGTAAGTCCGGGGTGTGACACTTGTGCTTGATTTTCAATGTAAGAATAGAAGGCGGGTTAAAGTACAAGTGGAGCCAAAGATAAAGTAGCGGAGGATGAAGGGGGATCTCCAACAAAGTTTTCACACAAAATATTGGAGGAAGATGTATGGTGTATTGCTAATGATGCACATGTGGATGATGTATGGTTATCAATGAAGTCGACCATTAACAAAGTGATGAAGGAGATACTCAGAGAATCTCAAGGATGTCTGCCACCAAAAAAAGGAAACATCTTGGTGGAGTGATGAGGTGAAACAAGCAATAAGGACCAAAAGAGAATGCTTCAAAAATTTGGGAAAAAGTTGGAGCGATAAGAACATAGAGGAGTAGAAGGAGGCTAGAAGCAAAACAAAGAAAGTTGTAAAAGAAGAAAGAGGGAAGTGAACAAGGAATTGTATGTAAAATTGGACTCTAAGGAATGAGAAAACGATATTTACAGACTTGCTCTCCTTCGTGATCGTAGGACTCAAGATATCGGAAAAGTTAAGTGTGTGAAGGATGTCAATCAAAGGCTATTAATGGAGGGAGAGGAAATAAAAGAGAGGTGGAGGTCATACTTTGATACCTTATTCAACGGGAATAAAGTGAAAGGTAGTGATGATCTTATACTATACCATAGTATATGGTAAATTGGGACTTTGTGATATGGATCCAAACGACATAAGTTAAAGAGGCCCTAAGAAATATGGGGGGGGGGAGCAGTGGGTCCAGATGGCATACCAATCGAGTCTTGAAGAAATTTAGAAGAGAAAGGCATCGAGTGCTATCACGTTTTTTCAACATGATTTGGAGAAACAACAAAATGCTAGCGAGTTCGCTGAAGAGTACTCTCATTCCCCTATTTTAAAATAAGGGTGATGTACAAGAATGTGCAAGTATCGAGAGATTAAGCTTATGAGCCACACCATTAAACTTTGGGAGCGAATGGTTGAGCAAAGACTTCCAAAAAGTGTGAAAATTACGGAGAATCAGTTTGGTTTTATGCCTGGACGCTCAACAATTGAGGTCATTCACCCTCTTAGACAAATTGTGGAGAAGTATAGAGACACTAAAAAGGATCTGCATTTGATGTTTATTGACTTAGAAAAGGCTTATGATAGAATACCTCGAGAAGTTCTTTAGCGGGCCTTAACTAGAAAATACATATCACGTAAGTATATCAATATCATCATGGATATGTATGAGGCTTGTACTACAAAAGCTCGTACTAGTGTAGGGAGGATCACATAGTTCCCTATTATTACTATCGGAGTGCACCAAAAATCGACTCTGAGTCCTTTCTTATTTGCTATAGTCATGCATGAACTTACGAAGTCAATTCAAGAAGATATACCTTGGTGTATGATCTTTGCCGACGATATTGTATTGATTGATGAGATGCAATCGGGTGTTAAAACAAAGTTGGAAGTATGGCAACAAAAATTGGAGACCAAGGGTTTCAGACTGAAGCGAAGCAAGACTGAGTATATGGAGTGCAAGTTTGGTGGAGGTAGAAGTAATTGTTATGGTGGGATTACAATTGATGATAAGGAGATACCGGGGTGTGATATGTTCCGTTACTTGGACTCCATAATTCAGAAGGATGGTGAATTAGATGGAGATGTATCCCATACTTCGACTAGAGTGAAGGGTAAATTTTATCGAACAGCAATTAGGCGTGCATTAATGTATGGGGTAGAGTGTTGGGCGGTGAAACCCTGTCACATCCAAAATATGTGGGTGACAAAGATGTGTATGTTGCATTGGATGTGTGGGCATACCGAAAAAGACCGCTTGAATAATGAGATAATCGGACAAAAGGTGAGAGTAGCACCTATAGAAGATATATAAGATGCAAAAGTATCGATTGCGGTGGTTTGGTCATGTGCGCTGAAGACCGAGTGATGCGCCTGTTAGATGACTTGAGAGGTAGGGAGGAGAGGGAGATTCAAACAGACTTGGATTAGAGGAATCAGTACATATATGCGTCTTCTTGGGTTGGATGAGGGTATGACTTTGGAGAGAGCAAAGTGGAGGGCGCGCATTTGTGTGGGCGATTGATCTCTTTTCTTTGTTTTTTCTCTCCCTTTTCTTTTATCGTCTATCTTCTTTATCTTTTTATCTTTTATCTTGTTCTTATGTTTCTATGTTATTGTTATCTTATATTTATCTTTATCTTATCCGATTTATCTTACTTTATTTTTATTCTTCTTTCTTCTCTTTTGGCTTTGATATAATGGATTGATTCATGTCAGCCGACCCCAAAATCGTTTGATATTAATTAAGGCTTGGATGTTGTTGTTGTTGTACTTTTGATCCTTCTAAGTATACTATTACACGCTAGAAGTCCACCTTTTCTAAAGAATAAAAACTTTGATTTATATACGAAAATGTTACCGCATTTTTCATCCACTTTAATGCACTTTTGGCATATTTAAAACTATTAGATCCTAAATACGATGCTCCACCTGAACGGAACTTTGTTCGGCCACCTCAATTTGAGGTGTTTGTGGGTGGAATTTTAAAATGCAATTTGTGAGCATGTTTTTCATGAAATATAGATTATATCCGCAAAATTTCAACTTAAAATTTAACCGGAAAGTCGGTTGAATAAATTATGAATTAATTCCACTTTTGGTGGTACGAGTTTTATGTCATTTTCACATTTAGTCCACGTCTTCCACTTTATCGACTTTTGGTACTTAACTAATGTTTCTTGACCATCTGTGGTCCTTCTCCGGTGATTTTAACCACCGGAAACATTGCCGGAAGAAACATTTCACAATAGTCATGTACCAAAAGTGGTCAAAGTCAAAGACGTTGATCAATTGTGGAACTGATGCAATACTCGTAGGACCAAAAGTGTCATTTACAAAAATAAAAACACACTTTTATAGTGCATATTTTGAACGAGAATACATGTGCTAAGAATACCTGTGCTAGAGAATTGGCAGCCAGGTCTAGGAGTCGATCATTCATCGTAACTGGGCCCATTTCATCTTTTTCGTGCAGATGAAAACTTTTCTTTTCCTGACCGAAGTAGAGTCAATATATGAATCCTCTAAATAAATAGTTTTTGAAAGGTTTAAAAATGTTTTTGGTCCCTGTAAATGTAGTAAATTTTCTTTCACATCCCTACAAAATTATTTTTTATTTTTCACTTCTGAAATTTATGTTGGTTTTCTTTTTAATCCTTCACCGATGAAACATCCTCCGTTTGACCTTAAAATAATTCAGACCAATACATTTCCTCTAATTCTTTGTCAAATTATTCAAAAGTATTGAAATAATTCCAAATATATAATTAAAACAAAAGTAGTGGATAAAAATGTGACCCTAATAACTTTAATGACTATCTTTGTATTAAAATGTTGGATTATAGTGACTAGAAAACTGACTTATAGTCACATTTTTGTCCATAAATTTTTTCATAATAATATTTTAGGAACAAGTTCAAAACTATTTACTTTCATTTTTAGATGTTTTTTAATAAGTATTTTAAAATTTTCAATTATTAATTTTACATTGTTTTAACACTCATATTTGCCTAAAAAAATCACAAAATGATAAATTTAAATGTTTCTAATAGATTTAAGCAACTGACAACAATAACTTTTTTTCTAGGTAGAGTGATTTTAAAGTTACAGATAGACTAAAAACAAAAATGAAATGTGTCATATATGGAAGTAATGAAACCATATTTGAGTCATTTTGCTATAAGAACAACATTCAAGTCTTATACCTAAAGAATGTAGGTTAACTAACACGAATTATTATTATTATTATTATTATTATTATTATTATTATTATTATTATTATTATTATTATTATTATTATTATTATTATTATTATTATTATTATTATTATTATTATTATTATTATTATTATTATTATTATTATTATTATTATTATTATTATTATTATTATTATTATTATTATTATTATTATTATTATTATTATTATTATTATTATTATTATTATTATTATTATTATTATTATTATTATTATTATTATTATTATTATTATTATTATTATTATTATTATTATTATTATTATTATTATTATTATTATTATTATTATTATTATTATTATTATTATTATTATTATTATTATTATTATTATTATTATTATTATTATTATTATTATTATTATTATTATTATTATTATTATTATTATTATTATTATTATTATTATTATTATTATTATTATTATTATTATTATTATTATTATTATTATTATTATTATTATTATTATTATTATTATTATTATTATTATTATTATTATTATTATTATTATTATTATTATTATTATTATTATTATTATTATTATTATTATTATTATTATTATTATTATTATTATTATTATTATTATTATTATTATTATTATTATTATTATTATTATTATTATTATTATTATTATTATTATTATTATTATTATTATTATTATTATTATTATTATTATTATTATTATTATTATTATTATTATTATTATTATTATTATTATTATTATTATTATTATTATTATTATTATTATTATTATTATTATTATTATTATTATTATTATTATTATTATTATTATTATTATTATTATTATTATTATTATTATTATTATTATTATTATTATTATTATTATTATTATTATTATTATTATTATTATTATTATTATTATTATTATTATTATTATTATTATTATTATTATTATTATTATTATTATTATTATTATTATTATTATTATTATTATTATTATTATTATTATTATTATTATTATTATTATTATTATTATTATTATTATTATTATTATTATTATTATTATTATTATTATTATTATTATTATTATTATTATTATTATTATTATTATTATTATTATTATTATTATTATTATTATTATTATTATTATTATTATTATTATTATTATTATTATTATTATTATTATTATTATTATTATTATTATTATTATTATTATTATTATTATTATTATTATTATTATTATTATTATTATTATTATTATTATTATTATTATTATTATTATTATTATTATTATTATTATTATTATTATTATTATTATTATTATTATTATTATTATTATTATTACTATTACGATCAAAAATTATTATTATTACTATTACTATTACTATTACTATTACTATTACTATTACTATTACTATTACTATTACTATTACTATTACTATTACTATTACTATTACTATTACTATTACTATTACTATTATTACTATTATTACTATTAGTACTATTATTAGTACTATTATTAGTACTATTATTAGTACTATTATTATTACTATTATTACTATTATTACTATTATTACTATTATTACTATTATTACTATTATTACTATTATTACTATTATTACTATTATTACTATTATTACTATTATTACTATTATTACTATTATTACTATTATTACTATTATTACTATTATTACTATTATTATTATTATTATTATTATTATTATTATTATTATTATTATTATTATTATTATTATTATTATTATTATTATTATTATTATTATTATTATTATTATTATTATTATTATTATTATTATTATTATTATTATTATTATTATTATTATTATTATTATTATTATTATTATTATTATTATTATTATTATTATTATTATTATTATTATTATTATTATTATTATTATTATTATTATTATTATTATTATTATTATTATTATTATTATTATTATTATTATTATTATTATTATTATTATTATTATTATTATTATTATTATTATTATTATTATTATTATTATTATTATTATTATTATTATTATTATTATTATTATTATTATTATTATTATTATTATTATTATTATTATTATTATTATTATTATTATTATTATTATTATTATTATTATTATTATTATTATTATTATTATTATTATTATTATTATTATTATTATTATTATTATTATTATTATTATTATTATTATTATTATTATTATTATTATTATTATTATTATTATTATTATTATTATTATTATTATTATTATTATTATTATTATTATTATTATTATTATTATTATTATTATTATTATTATTATTATTATTATTATTATTATTATTATTATTATTATTATTATTATTATTATTATTATTATTATTATTATTATTATTATTATTATTATTATTATTATTATTATTATTATTATTATTATTATTATTATTATTATTATTATTATTATTATTATTATTATTATTATTATTATTATTATTATTATTATTATTATTATTATTATTATTATTATTATTATTATTATTATTATTATTATTATTATTATTATTATTATTATTATTATTATTATTATTATTATTATTATTATTATTATTATTATTATTATTATTATTATTATTATTATTATTATTATTTTTTTTTTTTTAATATTATTAATATTAATATTAATATTAATATTAATATTAATATTAATATTGTTATTATTATTGTTGTTATTATTGTTATTATTGTTATTATTATAATTATTATAATTATTATTATTATTATTGTTATGATTGTTATGATTGTTATTATTATTATTATTGTCATCATCATCATCATCATGATTATTACTATTATTACTATTATTACTAATATTATTATTAGTAGTATTATTATTATTTTTATTATAATAATAATAATTATTATTATTATTATCATCATCATTATTATTATCATCATTATTATTATTATCATCAGCATCATCATCATCATCATAATAATAATAATAATAATAATTACTACTACTACTACTATCACTAGTACTACTATTACCCACTACTACTATTACTATTACTACTTGCATTACCATAACCATTACCATCACTATCACTATCATTATTATTATTACTATTACTATTTGTATAATAAATAATAAATTCTGTAGCTTATGCGGAGTATCGCCTAGGAGACCGCCTAGGAGTATAACATATTAATATTGATATTTGAATTAGATAAATGGGTAAGGGGAAATGAAAAAATACGGAACTCAATTTAGGGGATGAAATATCGGGATTCTGTACATTGGATTGGAATAGCCGGAAGGGAGCAAAGATAAAAAAAATAAAAAATATAAAAAAAAGCATCTACTTAGAGGCTATTTCCGATTGCATCTATAAATAGGAGGTGGCTCACAATTATTCTATGAGCAAGGGGAATTGGTGGGGTAGGCAAAGTATAAAATTGCATTTTTTTAATGTGTTGTAACTTATTTATTTGTACTTCAATTTTTATAAAAATATATACTCTATCACAATTCATAACATTTCATTATCTTTCTTATGATATCAATATTGCATATATATATATATATATATATATATATATATTGTTTTTTTAAATTTAAGTTTCAACCGTAGGAGTTTCTGAGATTCAAAATTTTTACTAAATAGATCCAAGTATTAAAATTAAAATATCAGTTATAAAATAATTGAAACATGTAAACGATATTTTAACAATGAATTCTTAAATTTAGAACTTGAATCTATTTAGGAAAAAAATTGGATCTTAAAAGTTTCTAAAGTTGAAACTTCAAAAAATATACTCCGTATTAACTTTATATATGAAATATTAGTGTCTTTCATAAAAAATTATGAATTTCAATATACTTTTTTTAAAATTGGAATACAAATAAAAAAGTTACATCATACAAGAAAAATGAGATTTTGCATTTGCTTTGCCCTCTCTCCTCCTAGCCAATCTAACCGTCCACCATACCAAAGAATCAAACAATTGGAATTTGGCAATCCGAAAAACAATTAAAAAAACAAAAAAAAAAATCTATTCAAAACGTGGGATTCCAAATGAGTAAAAAAAACTATTTGGAATATGTGATTCCAAACCCTAAATTGATCTGAAAGGTGCTTTCGGATTTCTATCTTTTTGGAAACAGTAATTATAACTCGTCTTTTGCTTTGATTGTTGCCTTTTCCCGTATTTTTGGGAAACACCCAAGGGTTAATTGTCAAATGCTTTTCTATAATAAGCATTTTATATATTCAATCATTAATATAAGTAAATTAAGTATTCAAGTTACTACAAATTTGGAAGACTATCTAGATTAAAAGATAGATTCGCTACCTGAGAAGATTCTTGTGTGGACAAAACAAGGCGATGAACCAACAACATAAGAGAATCCAAAAGAACTAATAGGAAAATTGTGAAGATAAATATAGACTTGATGCCTCTACAAAGAGCCCACCTTCCATTGTGAATTCCTCCTCTAGAGGCACTGAGTTTCTCCATTGTGTTCTTATTATAGAGGCACCTTTAATTTCCTCCTCTTCCTATGCGTTTTTTTCTTTGTATCCCCATCCCCCCTCAAAAGCTTATACTCAGGTCGATGGTAGAAGATTGAAAGTAACAACTTAGCTAATGAAGCTAGAAAATTAGAATATGACGGAGTAACGGCAACATATATGTATACAAGATATGACATGGAGTGGAAGTTAAGGTAAAGAATAGTTGTAGAGAATGAAAGTTATAAAATGGAGTAAAGTTGAAGACTGCATGCAGCTACGTAGCTCATATTAATATAATAATATACCAAATATAATTAATAAAGAAGAAATTGCTCTGGATTAAAACACAATAAAAGTTTTGAAATAAGACAAGCCGGTCTTGGCGGTTTAGAGGGCCTAGGGGCGAGTCCGCGAGTGTTCTATAATAGGCCTATTTAAAAAAAAAGATATTTTATATTTTTTCTCAAACCACTATAAAAAAATACGGGATTGACATGAATTTTTTGGCAAGGATTTTGGCAGGGAAATACACAATCCGTGCTAAAAATAGTTTGGCACGAGCTATTTGGCACGAAATTCTCAGAAAATCCTTGCCAAATCCGTGCCAATCCTGTAATTCTATGGAGAGAATTCCCTAAATAGGAGTAAAAAACGTTTTGAAATTCCAAAATAGAAGTATCATGTTTTTTATTCCCTGAATAAGAGTAAATTTCTGCCAAGTTTGGCATTACAAGACTTTTAACATGACATTTTTTTTCCAAACTTGGCAGATTACTCCTATTCAGGGAATAAAAAACATGATACTCCTATTTTGCAATTTCAAAACATTTTTACTCCTATTTAAGGCAATTTCTGTAATTTTTTTGTAGTGAATATTTTCTCTACTTTTCTCACTAGCTTTATCGCATCTAGATTCATCCAATTTTCTTACACTTTAAAATTAATTAAAATCCAATTAGCACAGCTTTGCCATTCACGGGGTGGGGGATCGACTTGCTAGGGCCCCTACCTACCGCATCCGGAGGGAGGAAGTACATCACAGTGGGAATAGATTATTTTACAAAATGGGTAGAGACCGAACCACTAGCCAGCATCACGGAGTTCCAGTGTCAGCGTTTTGTCTAGCAAAACATCATCTATCAGTTCAGACTGCCCGAACAAATCATCACTGACAACAACCATCAATTCAATGGCAAGGGATTTGAGGAGTTCCTGACCAAATGGGGTATCAGACATTCAAAAGCCTCAGTGGCCTATCCACAGGCGAACGGACAGGTGGAGAACATGAATCGAACCATCATGATATGGATGGGATGAAAAAGAAACTAGAAGATTATTCTTCCACCTGGCCAGACCAGTTAAACTACATCCTAGGGCTGGGCAAAATGGTTTGGATGGATTGAACCGAACCGAACCCAACCTGAAAATTGGTGGTTTGGTTTGGTTTGGTTTGGTTTGGTTTGGTTTACTTAAGTAAACCGATTGGTAGAAATTTTCTCAAACCAAATGGTTTGATTTGGTTTAAAACCGAAAAACCGTAAACCGAACCAAACACCGAACCACTTGTAATATATATAAATGCTTCGTATTTTTATTCACTCTTTATCTTTAGTATATAAATAATTTAGACATAAAAATATAAATTTAGCATATATCATTTTAACTTTTACACATTTCATACATTCATTATGACAAGATTAGCTAATACGACATATTTGTATTTGCTATGTTTTGCAGTTTTGTATTCTACTTGTATGAAAAGATATTTGGCGATAACAATAGCAAATTACGCTTATAGTTTTTACACGATTTATTTGAATAAAGTTGTGAATATTACAACATTTGCACCACTTACTCATTTAGTTTTCTTTGAATACTTTATGTGATATTATAAATTATAATCAACTATAAATTTATTTTTCGTGAGAAGGGCATCTGTGTCTAGGGATTGAAAAGATGTTTGAAGTTTTAATTTATACGTAGTAATATTTTATTATTTCTTTTTCTATCTTTTATTTTATTTAATATTTTATTAATCTTTTATTTATTATCTTCTAAATAATAAATAAAAGAAGATGAGATGGACTAAAACTGTCACTTTTTTTTATCGTCGAACGGGCATTCATTCATAAAAAGCACTCAGAAAGGAGTTGAAATAACAAAAAGGCCACATGTAACCATCCGCCCGTGGACGAGACTCCGAGTTAATCACCTTTGACAAAACAATATAACTCGCTAATCCTAAATTGGGCATATTCAAAACCACGATGATTACCGCAAGCCTCTCATCCCCCAATCCAAGTGCAAAAGTCTTACAACATAAAATAAATAAGCAACAAAACACATTCGAAATAAAATAAAAACAAAACACAATCGACTCAACAGAAATAGATATACTCGTCCAAACCCTAGTCGCAGAATTCCTCCAAGGCGGCGGTTCTGGAGGTGGGCGGATCAACACCCCTTCGTCTTCTTTCACACATAGGCCACCAATGAACCCCTGAAATTTGATTTTCCAGTCCGACATCACGATGTCGACCACCAGAAACTCCATGCTTCCACCAATAACCATCTGTTTCGTCAAAGCTCGTTCCCAAGCTGTCGAAGAATAACAGCTCGGCTTCGTCTTCAACATTATGCAGCACCCCATCTTCCCCTTTCTAAACCCGTCCCCTACCAAAATCAGAAGCCTCGAACCCTCCTGAAAGCTTCCTCGCTTGTTCGCTGCTCTTGTGAAGCAGAAAAACCAAAAGCTTCGAATCCAGATTCACCGCAATTGCAAGTCAGAAAGAAAACAAAAACGAAACAAACAAACCCCGCGATGACAACAGAACTCAATACCCTGAGAAGATATATGAGATAAGTTGCCTACCGGGGAGAGATCGGCCAAACCCACGGTCTGGATAGGCCGCCGTCGGAAAAAACTAGGCTAAAACCTAGAGAGAGCCTTCTCGTATTTCTTAGCGGATAATAAATTAGATTAGATTTATTATCCTCTAAGAAATATACTTTCACTTTCTAATTCTAAAATATATTCTGTAGAATTTAATCAAATAAAATAATAAACATAAAAAACCGAATCAAATCAAACTAATTTGAACATAAAGTTTTCACTTTGGTAAACCGAACTTCAAACTTAATCGAACCGAAACCAAACCGAAACACAAGTGGTTTTAGTTTGGTACAAATTTTCCCAAACCGAATAAATCGAAACCAAACCAAAACCGAAGAAAACCAAACCGTAAACCAAATTGCCCACCGGGGAAATTCCGGGGAAACCCCGGTGGACGTGTCAGACAACCCCAAGGACCGCCACCGGGGAAACCCCTTTCGCTCTATCGTATGGTTTCCAGGCCAAAGTCCCGACTGAGGTTTTGGTGCCACTCACTGGTGGGACATTTCAATCTCAATCAGAACGAAGAATTATTGGGAGCCGAGTTGCACTTCATCGAGAAATGAAGGGACTTGGCCACCAGAAGGATTGAGGAATACCACCGAGCGACTCAGAGATATTCTGACAAAAAGGTCAAGAACTGGGACTTCGTCCTCAGGAAAAGAGAAAAGAGCAAGCCGCTCGAGAGCGGCAAGTTATCCAAGAACTGGAAAATCCCGTACCAAGTTTGGCGCAATTATGCAATCAAGACTTTCGGTCTCAAAACAACAGAGGGCCGACCGGCTGGAACCTGAAATGTTAAGAACTTGAGAATATTTTACCAATAATCATCGAACGGCTATAGCCACCTCTGAAAAAAGGGAGACAAAGCTCCCAGAAGATGCCACAAGTATGGACAAACTGCTTCGAAAGTATCGAGCGGGGGTATCAAAATTATGGCTTAAATCTTACCTCAATAATAAGTATGGACAAACCGCCTCGAGGGAATCAGACGGGGGAATTGAAACTGTGGTTTGGAAGTTGGTCGTCTTCTCAATCATAAGTATGGACGAACCGTTTTGACTGGATCAAATGGGGGTATCGAAACTGTGGTTTGGAGATAGGCGCCTTATCGAGCATAAGTATGGGCGGACCGTTCGAATGTACCGGGCGGGGGAATCGAAATTGTGGCTCAAATCTCACCTCAATCATAAGTATGAATGAATCATGTCAAGAGCATCAAACGGGGGAAACGAAAATGTGACTTGGAAGTAAGTCGTCACCTCGATCATAAGTATGGATGAACCGTTCGGACGTACCGAACGATGGTATCAGAACTGTGATTTGGAGGTGATTAACATATCAGTCATGAGTATGGATGAACCGTATCGAAAAACTTGATTGGGGAATCGAAACTATGGCTTGGAGGTGACGAACATCTCAGTTGTGAGCTTGGATGAACCATATCGAAGCAATTGAATGGGGGGATCGAAACTCTAACTGGGAGATTGTTAGACATGCATTGAGAGCTCAGAAATAAAGAGATCCAAAGCAAGACGGCACTTGATCACAAAGGGGGAGATTGTTAGGACTATTTTAATTGTGAATCAAGTTTTTCATTTACGTCTTGTTATTAATTAGAATAGGTATACCATTTATGGTATCTAATTATTGTGTAATAAATAGTTAGTAAGGGAATAAGGCCCAAAAAGGTCTTAGGCCCAAACTCCTAGGTATCCTTATTAGGTAACCTGTACAGCGCCTATAAATATGCGCATTCTGTACAGAGCCTAAGGTCGATCATTCTATTCTCTCAGCATTACTATGTAAAAATTCTTCTCAATAAATAGTAAGAAAGGTTTCTTTGTTCTCGATATTGCTTAGATCATTCTGTGAAATCTTTCTTCCCTGTTTATTGATGAATACCATCTAGCTGTTTGATTAATCTACAGCCTCAAAGGGACCAACAGATATAAATAAGCTCATCTTTCACAAATATGGTCAAAGCAATCCCACATTTCATTTCTTTCATCTTCTTATTATTTCATTTATTTAATTTGTTTATGTTTTTGCTTTCCTTTTTCTCAATAGTTTTTCTCATTCTTCTTACCCATTTTACTTTTTTTTTTTAATGTATTACTATTCAGTCTATTTGGTTAATTCTCTTTCAAAGATTATTATCCCACATTATCGTTATCATTTTTTTGATTTTTTATTTCAAATTTTCTTTTCTTTAA